TGAAATTATTATTATTATTATTATTATTATTATTATTATTATTATTATTATTATTATTATTATTATTATTATTATTATTATTATTATTATTATTATCATATTTTAAAATTATTTTTCGAATTCTATAAAAAAATTTAAATTTATTAATCTTTTAAAAAACGAAAAAAAAAAAAATGGTAATAATAATAATAATAATAATAACCCATAAAACTGGGACTCCTTTCTAAAAAAAAAAAAAAAAAAAAAAAAGCATTTTCATAACAGAAATAAAAATAAGATTTTTTTTTTTTTGTTTTGTTTTCAGCACTTAAAATTTTACACGTAAATTTCCCTAAAATAATTACTATGAGTGATTATTTTATTTAAACAAAAAAAAAAAAAAAATTATTTATTAATCGTTCTTTGTTTAAAAAAAAAAGGAAAAGAAAAGAAAAAAAAAAAAAAAAAAGGAAAACTTGTATCGTGAAACAATTATTCAAATATTGGTATCATTTCTTGTGGTAAATAAAAAATTGGCAAGCGTGCGGGTGGCGTGGTGTTGACTCTACCCACACCCCGCGGGTTGTTTTTTTTTGTTTTCATTCATTCTTTCATTATTTTCTGGGAGAAAATTTTGGATTTATGGGTCCGTGAGTGTGAGATCTTAACTCGTATGTTTCTCCATCTGCTTGTTTTCCGAGTGCCGTCGCCGTGTCTTCGTCTGCTTTTCGAAATATCACCATTCTTATATCCGTGTGAAGGTATATTCTTCCCGTTTTACCGCTCACGAATCTCAAGTGTATGAGATACCTGAGATATTTGTGATAATCCTCTTGTTCGAACGGTGTTTCTTTTCCTTTGACGTAACCTGAGGAGGAGGAGGAGGCGGAGGATTTTTGATTTGTAGGTACGTAAAGCGTTCTCTGTCTTAGAAACGTATGAGAATTTGCCGGCATGTCGGTGAGATCGTAGACGACGACAAACATTTTCACGACAGTTCTTAGCGGATTGAACAAAGTCACTTGAATCGTTCCCGAACGCGGAACGTTGTATCCTTTTTTCCCCAAATTTATGTGGCCCTTTAATTAAAAAAAAATTTTTTTTTTTTTTTTAATAAATCCAACTCCTTTTCTTTTCCTCTTTTATACCTAAACTCTTTTAAAACCAACTACTTACCAAATAAGGTGCGGAAACTTTATCGTTATCTCCTAAAGTGTAAAAGAAAACGGTAACGGGAAGGTGCAAATGTCGCGGGCAAAACGTTCCGCTTGCACCTAATTCAGCCGTAAAACCTTGAACGGTCGATACGGGCTCCAACCTGCCATTCAAAACACTTTCTTCGAAGGAACCTGAATTCGATATAAACAGAAAAAAATATTTGAAAACGTCAATCGACTTGTTGTTGTCGTCGTCGTCCTGTTGTTGTCTTGTAACTCACCTAATAATGGCAAAGGTGAAAGACTGAGGTAGTTTATTTGTTTGGAAACAACCGACCAAGCCCCTGGACTCGCGGGACTTTTTAAACTTCCTTCCGATTCATTTTCATCTTCCGAACTGAGAGAATTTGCGGGTTCGAACAAAGCGCTGGAAAAATCATACAAAAAAATTAGCGAATCCTTTTGAAAAATAAAAAAAAAAATCCCTGACCAAGAAAAAAACAAAAACCTTTTAATCGCAGATACGGAATTCAACGAGGAATCGAATGAAAAACTATTATTATTTCTCCTCACTGGAGCTGGAGACGATGTGAGAGGAAGACCGGAACAACGGTGGAAAACAAGTTGAGCAGCCGAATCCAATGAACGTCTGAATTTCAATTTGTCATGGGCAGAAGGTACTGGAATGGTTTTATTATTGGAACTTATATTATTGCATTTATTGCTTTTATCAATTAAATCGATCATTTTCCCCTGGAAAACAAAAGGAAAGTTAAATTTTTGCAAAAAAACGGAAACGATGATGATGATGATGATAATAGTAAAACAAAAACTCACTTCCTGTTTCAAATCCAGTTTCTTACAAATCGATTTCAAACCGGATAAATTCCCTTGAGTAAATTTGGGATAATTCGAATCTTCGTTGGATTTAGAAGAAGAACCGGAAGCGTATAATTCTTTGACCGCGCTCGGTTTCTTCCTGTGAAATCTGAGATCTAAATAATTTTTACAGTCTCTGGAAATGCATCCTCCTCCTCCTCCTCCTCCTCCTACTCCACGTCCCTCCTCCGTCAAACTTTTGTTCAAATGCATTTTATTGCATTTATCACCTTTGGTTTTCATATCAATTTTACTTTTATACGCTAAATAACTTTTAAAAGGATCTTTTAATTTTTTCGTACCGGCAGATGAATCCTTATTCGAATTAATATTATTATTATTATTATTATTGTTGCCGTTACTATTGTTATTATTATTATTATTATTATTACTATTACTACTATTCGTGGGAGCTTTTTCTAAATTTACATCTTCCCGTTTATTTATAAATTTATTTTCTAAACTATTATCACATGAATTTTGACTCGATTTTGATTTCGATTCCATTTTAAACGTTTTGGATGATGATGATGATGATGATGTTGATAATGATGATGATCTTTTTGATGTTCTTATTATAGCCGCGAGAAAAGGATTTAACGTTTCCGAATGATTGTCTGAAAATTCATCATCAGAATCCGTACTGTAATCCGAATATCTATCTCGAGCCATGTCGCAACCTTTTCTAAAAGATTCGAAACTTTCTCTTCGAATCCATTTCGAAGATGGCGACAAAGGTATTTCTTCTTTTTCCTTTCGAGGTGACGAAGTGCTCGGTTTTTTATTATCCACTTGTTCTCCATTTTCTTCTTCCGACTTTATCAAACAATTTAATAAAAAATTTGTAGATTCTTTTTCTTCGGGGATTTGTATCGGATTGTTAAAATTAACGATTGGATTTTGTTTGTTTTCGGGAAATGATTTTTGTAATTTTTCCGGAAAATTTGTAGTGAGCAATGATTTTTCATCCGTATCAATCGCTCCTTCTCCTCCTCCTCCTTCTTCTGCTTCTGCTTCTTCTTCTTCTTCTCCTTCTTCGTTTTCATTTAAAGGTGTGCAAAAATCCGTTGAACAAGTTTCGACTTCTTTAAATTTACCGTGAAGCACTTTTTCGGAATCGGAATTTCCCAATCTCAAATCGTCTACAACTTCCGATGGTTTGACTCTGCTCAACGATCTCCTCCTTTTCGGTTTTTCCACATTTTCACCCGGAGTGGTTAAATCGTTTTCTTCGTCGCAATCCCACTTGCAGTGATGCTTACCGGAAATGGCACACGATATCTGCATCCGATCATCTAAAATATCCATTACGGATTTATTATCGACCGTGTTTACTTTATCTAATGCCGATTCACAGTTGCTGTTGCTGTTGCTGTTGTTGCTACTTTTCATTTTGCTTTTCGTCCGAAAATCACTATTCATTTTAGAATCACTTAAACTATTTAAACCGAATTTTAAATCTAATTGAGGATGATTATTAACGAGTTGCTGTTCGAAATAATTGCTCGTGAACGTGTCGAATTTTTCAAAATTTTCACGATCGGGTTCCATCAATTTCGTAAAATTTCCCAACAATTTTGACGGTTTTGATTTTTTTATATCCGCTTCGGATGTTTCTCCCAGATAACCATTCATTGATTTATCCGAAAACATGGTTCTTTTATTGCTTAAAATATTTGATTCTTCCAACGAGGTCACTTTTTTTATTTCGACGGGCATTCCATCGAGTATTTCTATTTCCGAGTGTTCGTCTAAACTTATCGGAGATGGTGCGCTATATAAATTTATGTGTTTTTTCCGTTTTCTCTCCTGTGCTTCATTCGTTTTTTTTCTAACTCCTTGAAATTTCAATGGTAACGTCGTGTTTAATATTTCCGGTTTGGTTTCCGCGCTCAGGCTCAAGTGTACGGGTTTCGAACTCGAACAATTTTTCTCTTTTGAATGTTCTTCGAGGGAAGATGATTCCAAAGGGGATGAATCCGTGGAAGAATCCGAATGCTGGGGACAACATACGATTGGGATTTTCTCTCTGCGAGGCAACGTTTTTAATGAGATCTGAAAAGGGAAACATGTTTAATCGCCATATTTTTTTTTTTTTTTGGTCGTAAATTTTTAAATTAATTCACACCTTGAGTGACACGTTTTTATTGATGTCTACAATTGGCAAATTGTGACTGATAAAATTGTCATCAGCAATATAAGTGGCATCATCTAAAGACACGACCCTGTATATTATGTGAGCGGGTTTCGTACCGTTTGTGCTCATGTACCATGCTGTTAATTGTGAAAAATGAAGAAGGGATCTTACTGCTTGATAAACACTTGAAACCGTCATCGGAGATAATGGTTCTTGACACCTAAAAATAATTTTCGTTTGAAAAGATTACATTTTTTATATAGAGAGAGAAAAAAAACTTTTTTTTAAATATCTATAATTAAAAACGTGTATCTATTAACAGAAAAAAATAAAAAATGTCATTTTAATGGGTCAAAGTGTTTCAGAGTGTAACTTAATTAGGTAACAACCTAATTTTCTTTAACCGTGTCAATTACGATCGATTAATACTAACAAACTAACACGACGACAACGACGACGATGACTTACTGTTTTGATTCTATCGTTATTATCCATTGTTCTAATGTTGCATCTCGTTTGGATGGTTGAGTGGATACCAATGTCGATTGACTCCTTAATTCTCCGCAAAGACAATCGGGTCCGAGTGAAACTTCTACGGCTATGGATGGCGACGTGCAATGAAGGTATTGCAAATGTTGCCTAAGATTATTGTAACGAATGCAAAGAATGTTGTTTTCTGTACATTTATGCGTGTCCTTCGAATATAGTTTTATGTGATTTGGACAGTGGGGTCCTTCATTGTACGGTTTTATCAATTTTGTGGCAGTTTCGCTGAAAAAAAAAAAGGACAACGGACAAAGAATTACGATGATGCGATGTAATCGATGTACGATTTGTACAACTTTTAAGACAAACTTAAAACATTCAAATCGTTGCGTAATGTGCGTAATGCGTAAAAATTTAACCATTACGCAATTTCAATTTTTTTAAAAATTTAATTGTAAACGTTTAAAATTGAAAAAAAATGGCAATAAGAGAGAGAGAGAGAAAGAGAGAAAAAGATATATGAAATACCATGAATTTGAAGAATCGTATGTCACTTTGGGAATTCTTCCCTCGATTATAAGTGTGCTCATGCAACAGAGAACCTCATAGGGATCGCTGAGGATTCCATCATTTTCCAATATAGAATGCATTTTTTTTCCCTCTGGAAATAAAACAAAAAAAAAAAAAAAAAAAAAGATAAATTTAAATAAAATGTCTTCTCCTGTTTTGATTGTTTTGTTTTAAAATTTTAACTTGAGTAATTTGTTCGTTTGTTTTAAAAAAATAAATAAATAAATAACAGGCTCGATGAAAAACATAAGCGGAGCAAAGACAAAAACGATTGTGCAAGACAGGAAAATGTCTTAATGACCCGATCGAAGTAATGACCTAGTTGAATTGCCGAAAAAAACTAGGTCTGGTACTCGTTCTCGCAAATTATACAAAGTCTAATTCTAGTCGGAGCGTTTGTCGTGTGTTTTAACGAATAGAATGGGGGGCGGCGGGGGGAATGGGGGGGAGAGAGAGAGGTAGGGCTCCATTCCGCGGAAGGCGATTCTATGTAACCAACCAACTCTACGCCTGGCTCGCTTTCACATATCGTCTTCAGAACCGTGTCAAGGTTACGGTGAAAACATGACTGCTATATAGCATTTGGTAACTCGTCCACCTTGTGCAAAAACCGTCTTTATTCGCCACTTAATATACTCCTTTTTCTTTCTCCTTCTCTCCCTCTCTCTCTTTCTCTTTCTCTGTACTAGTAGTCCTACTTTTAACTTTCATTTTTGAACTTACGAAGCGTTAAAAAAAAAAATTCAAATTAACAAAAATTTAAAAATTTAAAAAAAAAAATTTTCTTTTTGTTGGCTGAGAATTTTTTTTTTTTTTTTTTTTTTTTTGCGAACGTCAAATCAACGTTTTTCCTTTTCTTCTGCTTCTTTCCCTTTTGATATTTTTAAACTTTTCCGGGCGTCGTTTATTTATTTATTTATTTTACGACCCGATTTTAAAATTTTCCGCGTATCCTAATTACAATTTTAACATCGAGGAAGAAGTGAAAGTGAAAAAAAAAAAGATGAAAAAACAAAAAAAAAAATTATCATCATCATCATCATTCGTAACCGAAGAAGTAAAAGTGAAATTCCCCCCCCCTCCTTCCCTCGCTCATTCCCCTCCTCCTACCCCCTTAAATTATTTACAAAAAAAAAAAAAAAGGCATTAATATCATTTTACGAGAAAGTGTTTAAAACCAGAAAAAAAAAAAATTAAATAAAGAAAGTTTTTTCTTTTTTTTTTTTTTAAATTTTAAATTTTCAATCTTTTAAGTAATAATAATAATAATGGGCGTACAATTTTGAGAAATCAAAAAAACAAGGTAAACCTGGAACGAACGATGATTAAAAAAATAATAATAAAAAAATAAAAAAAATAAAATCCAAAATCTGACGAGCAATTACGACTTATCGTGATCAAAAGTGAAAATATAAGTAATAATAATAATAATAATAATAAAACCTCAACTATCACTTTTTTTAGGCATGATATGAGAGAAAAAAAACAACAACAAGAAACGAGTCAAAAAATTATTATTATTATTAAAACGGTACACACACACACACACACACACACACACACACACACACACACACACACACACACACACACACACACACTACCATTAACCATTAATAAATTTTAATTATCAACATGAGGTGAAGAAAAAAAAAAAAAAATGAAGGGAATCAGGTTGATATCAAAAAATCTTTTCGACACAACCATACCAAGAAGGTTTTTAGAAAGTTTCGATATCATCATCACTAAAAAGCAGAAGTTTTTTTTTCTAAAAGGAAAACCGTACGAAAATATTAAATTAAAAAAACATTCTAAACCGTAATTACGACGCAAATTTTTTTTTTTTTAATGCAAGTAAGACACGTTTTTGAAAAATTTATTTGCTCGTTATTACCAGGTACATATAACCACCAAATGACTTAGAAATTACATTCGAAAATAATTTTTTTTTTTGGGGAGGGGGAGGGCGGGCGGGGAAATCCCATGATAACTCTCGACGATCCTTTCTTTCTTCTCTATGCGTTTTTCACAAACTTTTATTCTCACGGATTCCCATGGGAAAGAGGAGGGGAGGGAAAAAAAATAAAGCTTAAAGTAAAAGTAATGAGAACAAACCCTTTTCTTTTCCCTCCCTTCCTCTCTCTCCCTCCCCCTCCCTCCCCCTCTCTCTTTCTTTCTTCGTTTTTTCTCCCCTGGCATTAAATTAAATCTCCTGAAATTTCCATCGAAATTTTAAATAAATAATTTTAATTACATTTTAAAACCCGTTTGCCAAAAAAAAAATAAAACGTTACGTATACATTTATATAATTTAATTTAAAATCCCACGGGAACACATCCGACAGGAAGAATTGCGTCGTATCGAAAATTTAAAAAAACTGCATAAGAATTTTTTCTTGCCAAAATTTTATAAAAATAATCACACGATGAAACCGCAACCAAAAAAAAAAAACCGGAAATTTTTTTTCTCTCTCTTTTCGCGTTTTCCCCTTCCCTCCTCTCCCCGTCTCCCTTTCTTATTTGTAGTCATATGACTTTTTAAAAATTATAAAACCGTAAAATGTTTTCCTGCAACATAAAAAATAGAAAAACATTCGAATCTAATTCATTCATTTTTTAATTTTTCCCTTAAATTTCACTTTTTTTTTTTTTTAATTAAAAAAATGAAAGAAATCGACAAAATGGCGGAATTCATTATTAGGGAAAATGAAAATTAAATTTTATTTTTTTCGTGCGTTTCATCATAGTAAAACTAATACTTATAACGTAAATACTTTATAATAAACAAACATATTGTTAGGCAATTATAATAATATTAATCATTATTATTTAACAACGAAAATAATTACAATAATAATAATAATAATAATACATCGCATTACAAAGCAATAAATATATATACATATGTAATAAACATTAACTTCTACACTTTCTAATTACGTAATCGATTTTATTTCCGTTACGCATCTCCATTTTTTTTTTTCGGCTTTGGAAATAAATATATAAAATAATTTTAACTTTAATTATGAAAAAATTAATAAAATCACGTGTTATGTTTGTTTTAAATTGTTTCTTTTTTTTTTTAAGGACAAAGGATTTTCCTCAAAAGGTATGTATGTGTTTTTTTTAATTATTATTATTAATAAAATCATGGCACGAGCTTGCAGACGAGCCTGCTGCCAGTTTTGTGAACTCTAACTAACTTTAAATAAATTTTTATTTTCTTAAAGGTCGGTGAACTACAAATCGGCGCACGGTGCACATGAACGAGAAATAAAAACAGCAATTAGAGTCACAGGGTATGTATAAATATATATAAACACCTCTCTAGTTCTCATCACGCCCTTGAAAAAAAAAAAAAAAAATTTCTTTTCTTTATAATTAGCCCCAATCCGCCATTAACGGAAATAAATTAAAACAAATAAAAAAAAATTTTCGTATATATTTGTGTTCAAAACGATTTGACAAATCGGAACGACCCGGCCCGGTCGTCCTTCGCCCTGTTAATACGTTACATTTCCTTTATTTGTTTTTTGAAAAGGTCATTCGTTTTGGACGTTACCCATGTTGTCTCAAAGGGCAACAACCCTCGCCGAATTTGCCTTCGAACCCGGGGAAATTTTTTTGCCAAAAAAAAAAAAACAACAAAAAGGAAAAAAGCATTGATCTAGTCAAAGCAAAACGGTTTATTTAAAAAAAAAAAGCACGTGTTTGTTAAACCAGTTATATGGGTGAACGACCTGACCGTTGGGAGCCAGACCTTGGAATCATGTGTTTGACTCCAATATAATTCTTTTGTGTATATATATGTGTTCCTCTCCTTCTCTCTCTCTCTCTCTCTCTGTTAAGGAATATCACAAGATTCAAACCCTTCAAATTTTTCAAACACCCCCTATCCCCAATTAATTCCATCCTCGCTCGCATCCTATAAAACAAACCCCCCCACCCCCCACATAATAGCTTTAATAAGTAACTTTTCAAGGCAATGAATAAAGTAAAATACGTTTAAATTTTTTTTTTTTTTCTCAATAAATTCCGCAAAAATTGAGCACAAACAAAGTTAACTATATTTAAAAATAAGAACACATTCACCATTTACTTACGGTACATAACAAACAACAACTTTTATAACAAAACGAATACAATCCATTCAAAATAATAATAATAATAATAATATGTATATATAGATCGGTTAAATATGGCTCCGAATAAAAAAAAAAAAAAAACCACGTTTAAATCTATTAATAACTAATTTATTTACGGCAATTGCTCTTTCTTTGAAGTTATTATTGTAATAAAGTTATATTCATTTGATACGAACGGTATATTTATCAAGTATACGAATTTAAACTAGAAAAAAAAATTTAAATTTCTACTACGATTCCGTAGAGAAAAATCAAACAGAACCAAAAATTATTAAATCGATTTATCAATAATGAGTAAAATAATTTTAAAATAATATATAATGTAAGCTTTCAATTGCAGGGTGGGTCAAAGATCATGAGCAATTTGATTAACATCAAGGTTGACATTAAAATTTCAAAATAGAAAAGCAACTGAATTATCGAAATCCCGGAAATTCGTTTTCGAAAAGGACAGGAATTTTACCTTGGGGTCGCCATATTCGAATTTTTGTTATTGCAAATCATATAAGTGTGATCGTCCAAATAAAAGTCCACGAGTAGTATGAGGTCAAAGACCGTCCGAAAATAATATTTACCCAATTTAGAGGAAATATAAATCCCGCAACAACAACAACAACAACAACAACAACAACATCGACAACGACAACAACAACAACAACACCTTTTGGCAATTTAATAATTATGATTAAAATCGAGCCAATAACTGCAACGCATTCGTTTTGAAACAAAGAACGAAAAAAAAAAAATTAAATTAAATTAAACTTTTCTTCCTTCTCTCTCTCTCTCTCTCATTCTCTTTTTCTCTCGTACGAAAATAAAATAAAAGAAAGAAAGAAAGAAAGAAAGAATATCTATTTTAAAACTTTAACCCATTTTTAACAAATGGCATTTCCTTAAAAACAACATTTTCGAGAACACATTATTTTTCCTTTTTT